CCACACGTGGACCGCCACAATAAGCTGTGATTGCGACCACCTTTGGGACTGTGTTGGGGGCTGGAACTACCTCCAAGACAGTTCAAACATATCAGTTCTGAGAGACTTCCCTGAGCATTTTTGGCTTTGTTCAATGATTTCAGTACAATTATTATCTTGCCTCCCCCCCCCTCCCTCCACATCTCATTTATACATCAAAATGCCTCATTACTGTGGTCCAAAGGGAGATGGTGGTGATGGTGGTGCAGTAACGGCCGCTGGTGGCCGGGATGTGGTGTTCGCAGCTTGGTCGACGACACTCGCTTTACTTTCAACAGCGAACCCCGCAAAGTGGTCGGAAGAGGACCGGCGGCGGTGGTTGGCGCGGTGGTCGTAGATGTGCTCAGGGAGGTGTGAGTGCTGCAATAAAAGTTGAATAATGTTCGTTCGTTCCAGGTGGTCTTTCACGACTAGAAGTAAAAGCTATCTGCACGCAGACCTGTCGGGCGTTGCCAGTGTGGTGGTGGAGTTACTGGGTTCGGGCGTGGCACCGGCCTCCGCCTCCACAGCAGAGGGCATTCCCGCCGTCGCGGGCGCGGCGGTGCTCACATTCTGGCCCTTGATGGTGGGAGATGTGCTGGTCGGGGTGCTGGAGCTGAGAGGGATTTGAGTTGTTGTCGAGGTCGTTGGCATTTTGGGTGGGCTGGGTGTGGTTGAGTTGTTGACCTGAAAAAGAGCGCAATCTATCATAAGGAGTCCCTGCAGCGCCAAGATGCTGGTGAACTTTTCAATTGTCCCAAAAATACCTTCGCTGTCTCACAGTTCTTGCCGAGGAAACCTTGCGGACACTCGCAGAGGTAGTCACCGTCCTCCTCCGCCAGGCTGACGCATGTGCCTCCGTTTTGACATGTATCAGGGTTGTTTACGCAGTACATGAGCTCTGAAACCATGCCAAAGTCAAGATAAGTTGAGTTTATGTGGAACAAAATGTTAGGAATTTGACCTCAAAGGTGTTCGGTTGGGATGCACGCGGGAGGGGACGGACTCCGATGGCCGGGTCCGGGTCTTCAACTTCAACTTCAACGAGGGTTTTGGGTGATGTCCCTGAACTCACCCTGATCGCAGAGCATGCCTCCCCAGCCGGGCTCGCAGTTGCACTCCCAGGGACGGGCGCATGAGCCGTGCACGCAGCCCGGGTAGGCGTGGCACTTGTCGCAGTTAGTGCCCCACCATCCCACCTTGCACCTGCGAAAAAAGTTAGTTGATCGCAATCGTTTCCTTCGTGTGCCCGTGACGCACTAACAGAATTAAACTATTTAGAGGACGCGCCGCACCAATGTCCTTAAGGAGTCGTCAAGAAAGTGCGTCGATTTTTCTCAGATTCATTCGGAAAACTATCGGATCTCAGCGCCTGCGAACATCTGGATAGGCCGACCCGCAATACACGCATGCACTGCAGGCAAGATTTTGCCTGCCTAACAGGCGCCATGTGGGCTTGCATGGGGTGGCGAACTTGGCAGGTTCGTAACGGCAAGTGATGGACGTACTTTCTGGTCGATCCCCAATGCCAACGATGAAATTATGTTGGTGCCAGCGTTAAGAACTCTACGGAGCTCGTAGCTTATTCTGCAAGCGGAGCGGGACACCGTAGAGGCAGTAGAGGTAAACAGCCAATCAAGTCCGGTCCCGGATCCAGGACCCAATAAGTCGGGGTGGGGGCGGGGTGGGCGCAGCCCGAGCCTAGCCCCAATCGGAAGTTTGACGAACAGCCACCTGAAAGTTCTCCTTCCAGAACTAGGTGAACGCCGTTTAAAACCTGTTCCCTCTCTGGCTACGTCAGTTTTTTCAAAGCCTTGCCTCTGCCCGTCCGTCCCGAGCTGGCCTGAACTCGCAGTCTGACAAATAAGTATCTGCTGGTGCCCCCCCCCCCTCCTTACGCTCGCCGAGGATGGACACGGGCCACGATAACGAGCGCACTGCACCAGATAATATTTCTAATTATGTTCTATGATTTTAGTATAACTTGAGTGAATAAAACAAATATTGTGTTCGTCACTGTTGAACTGAAGCTCCTTCATGAGGACAGAGAAATGATTTCCGCCGGTATCACTGTCAATAAGCGGCACCGGGCGTCTCGCTGCTCTGCTTACCTGCACTCCCCGGGCCTCCTGCAGTAGCCGCGCTCCTTGTGACAGTTCTCGGCGCAAATCGCTGCAGAAAAACAAAGGGGCGTGGTCAGACGTCAGAGGACGCTCAGGCAGCTGCTATTGCCCCCGCAGCCGCACCGCAGCCGCGCCCCACCACTCACCCGTCTGACAGAGGATGCCGGTCCAGCCTTCCTTGCAGCGGCACTCCAGCGGCTTGGTGCAGTAGCCGTGCTGGCAGCCGGGGAGCACCTGGCACTCTCGGCACGTCTCACCGGCCCAACCGAGGCGACAGCGGCACTCGCCAGGACTTTCGCAGTAGCCTCGCGTCTGATGGCAGTCGGACCGGCAGATCGCTTTAAAAGAGAAAGAACAAGTCGGCGATTAAAAAGCGTGCCGTATAAAAAAAAGACGTTTCCTTGGTTTAATGCTTACGCTCCGAGCAGAAAAGACCGTCCCAGCCTTCCTCGCAGTTGCACTCGAAGCTGTTGTTGCAGTAGCCGTGCTGACAACCGGGCAGCGCGATGCATTTGTTGCACAGGTCTCCGTAGAAACCTGTCAAAGGAGGCGTATGTGTGCATTTGTTATTGTCGAGACCTAAATTCTGGGCCTGGCTTCAGGACGAAATGTGGGATGTACTCGGCTGGTCATTGACTCTCACCTAGTTTACAGCGGCATTCCCCCGGCCGCTTGCAGTAGCCCTGCAGGGGGTCGCAGCCCCGTCGACACACGGGGACGTCGCACAGATCCCCCGTCCAGCCCGGTAGGCACTTGACGTCGCCATTGTCATCGCAGGTGTAGTGGGAGCCCGGGTGCTGCCGAGCCGGGATCTCGCAAGCCTAAAAGTGGAATAAAAGTTTAAAAAAATGAACGATCGGGAGATATTCATTTAGATCGTGATAACTCGCCCCGATAATGCTCCCCGGATATACTCGGCATGACTCCTACCCGCGGGGACCCGGCCCAGCACGACCATCGACCACGACCATCAAGGGTGCAAAGCGACCCATAGGGAACAGAAAAATGTCAATGCGGTGTCATCTGACATCTATAGGTTCATATTGACCTCATTTAGATGTCAAAATAATATTAAAGAATGACACCCGTTAACGACATAATGACTCCCTGTTTCCCTGGGGAGAGTAGCATTTTAGCGCCGGGACGGGAAGTCCTGTTTCCGGTTGAGGCCGTCTTCGTCACAAAGATCGAAATGGCATCCCGTTCTTTAACATCACTAGGGACGTCTTTTCGGTTCAAAACTCTTAAAGATTAGGTATGATGGGGCCAAAAAACAATTGCCTTTCGGAAGCGAATCTATTCGAAAACTATTTGAAGCCTAACTAAAGCGTCGAAGCCTTCTCACCTGCTTCTTCCACTTGGGGACGTACTTCGCCGGTAGGGCTTCCGGCAGCAGCACAACCACTATTACCACCAGCAGCAGCCACACTCTCTCCGTCGACCGCATGGCCGCCCGACAACAACAAACGCGCGAGTACAGGTCCGGGAACAGGACAGCGACTACCTCACGAAGGGTCACCTCTTCCTCGACTGACGTCAAGGCGTGGGCCTGGAAGGTGGAAGGTAGGCCTGAGCGTGGCGGGGCGCGGCGGCGGTGGAAGGGGGCAGAGAGTCGCCCGGTGCGACGCCTCGGGCCGGCCGGGAGGTGGGCCCCCGCCACGGCCTGCCCTGCTTCCACACCCGGATCGGAAAAAGAGTAAACGGCCGTTTAGTCGGGCGTCGAACTCACAACAGCGGCAGAGAAAATACGGGGTCCAAAGGGGACAATGGAACAGCCGCCTGGGCGGTAGGCAGCCGCAGCGCTCGGTAGCGAGGAGGCCTGGGCGGTAGGCAGCCGCAGCGCTCGGTAGCGAGGAGCGTGGCCTACCCGTGGTTGGTAGGCGCTCGGGCACGGCACAGCTGGGCTGGACGGTAGGAAGCCGGCAGCGCACGGCAGCGAGGCACCTGGCCTACCCACCCCGTGGGCCGGCAGGCGCTCAGGCACGGCACAATTGAGCACCAATAATCCTCAGGAGTGTAACGGCTTGACGGTTCCACGGACGCCTGGACGGTAGGCAGCCGCAGCACTCGGCAGCGAAGTGCGTGGCCTACCCGTGGGTCGACAGGCGGTACGTCCCTGTTTGTAGCTACACGAGTGTAGCTACAGCTGACAGTGCCCGAGTCAGCTTAAACTGAACCGTCTATAGACGAATTCAGTATTTCCGCCAATACTAGAATATCAACCAGAAGTAAACAGCGCTGAGAACTAAAGCGAAAACGAAAGATATCAATGCCTTTCCGAAGCTCTCGCCTAGTCCCAAGCGCTCGGGGGCCAGGGGGCCGCGGCGCGGCGTGGGGGCCCGATTCAGGAAAGCATTGCCTACCCTCCAGGCGTTTTCAGCGACAATCATCGACCCACGCCTAGATTGACACGGCCTCACTTTTTAGCTTTAGAAAGGCGGCGACACAAGTGGTAGTAGACACGTTCCTGTTCATGGGCACAAAAATGTTGTCACAAATGGGGCAACATACGATGTCCAACGCCACCAGCCACACGCCCCTTTTGTAGTTAAACAGTTGTAGCTACAGTCGTCATGACCGCATGCAGCTTCATCCGAACCAAAATTGTCGGCCCTAAGATCAACTCCCGGGCGGGGCAATTTTTTTTTCTGTGTCGCTTTTTGTCACCCGT